GCGCCCCCCCCCCCCCCCGCCTCTGGCAGGGTCGAGGTGGCGGCTGGAGCCCGGCTGGGGTTCGCTGAAGGGGCTTGTAGGAATGGAAGGGGTAACAGGAGCGCCCCTGCCCCCGCCGAAACGCCTGTCTGACCTGCACGCCGTGCTGTTGGGAAAGCTGCGCTGCTGCGGGTTCCTGCGCCTCTGCAGAGCGTCCCCACTGCCCCGGGCTCGGCATCCTCCCTCCCGGCTGTGGAGAGGATCTGTAACAAACCACATCGGGCCCCAAATCCTTTCCTGATGTTTCTTGTCCCCTAAGCAGCCGTTCTCCTTGCCCAGGGGAGCGCTGTGGCTTGCACGGGACAATGATCTTGGCTGAAGGCGAGAGCCTGCCGTGGGTTTGTCGGGGTGGATGATGAAGAGCGTTAAAAGATGTCTGAGGTTTTCTAAATTACTCTTGGCTAACAGCCTGAGAGAGTTGCACAAAATTATACAATTACCAAGTGGTTTGGCAAAATTATACAATTACCGACTTCACATTCAGGTTCTTAATTTTATTGTATTGTAGTTTCTCATGAACACCAAATTCTCTCTTTCTTATCTCTGGAACCAAGTGTGGCAGTTCTAGTTTGGGTGGGGGTGTTGGGTTGCTGCTGGTAGGAAAGAAGCCGCCGTAAATTCCTTTCTTCCCAGTGTAATACTGGATGGAGAGTTTTTCCTTCAGCTTTGGAAAATCTGAGCAGAACATCGGATACAGCAGTATCTGAACTTCTTCCTCTTTAAACCTTCCTCTTGCAGATGCTTTTGATAATGACTTGATGCATACAACCCTGAAAAACATTGTTGAGGGCAAAACGGTTGAGGTACCAACCTACGACTTCGTGACCCATTCTAGGTAGGTTTTGGTTTTGTGTGAAGTCTTGGGGTGCGGGTGTCACCGGCTGGGCTGGGGGACAGACTGCTGGGCTGTGGGGAGAGACTCATTTAACAACGTGCTCCGGGTGTCTTTGCCTGGCAGGCTGGCAGAGACGACGGTGGTCTATCCTGCTGACGTCGTTCTCTTTGAGGGGATCCTGGTTTTCTACAATCAAGACATTCGGGACATGTTCCACCTCCGGCTCTTTGTTGACACCGATTCTGACGTCCGGCTGTCCCGCAGAGGTAACGCTCTGCCGTCACGGGCAGCATCAGCCTGCCCGGGTTCCTTATCCGTCCCCCACTGTGTGGTAAAACTCAGGGGTTTTATCTCCCCGTCCTAGTTCTGCGAGATATGAAGCGCGGGAGGGACCTTGAGCAGATCCTCACCCAGTACACGACGTTCGTCAAGCCTGCCTTTGAGGAGTTCTGCCTACCGGTACCAAATGTTTCACTAATTTGATTTGATCTGTGGTGTTTGCGTGGAGAGAAGGAGCAGGGCCGCATTAGCTGTACGGTAGATGCAGCAGTGGTGGCTTTCGATATTTGTGTTTCACGAGTCCCGCACTCTCCCCTCTGCCTCACCTATGTAACCACTTCAGGCTGCTCGTTTGAGGAACTTTACCGGTCGGTCCCTTCTGCTCGCAAAGCACCGTGGAAATCCCTAGAGGCTGCGCATGTTTTCTCACTGCTCGCTGCCATGGCTATTTTAGCATGGGTCCCTTTGGCTGAAGCAGTCCCACTCTGCATTTATTCTTAAGTCTTGCAGGGAGAAAGAGCAGCGTGGTTTCCAGCAGATTCTCTCTCAGCAGGGAGCACTGGTGAAAACCTGGGGCAGACCATTATAGCGTCTGCTTGCTACGCCATATAATGCAGGGACAATTTAGGTGCTCATGTAATCAAATCAATTTGTTAAAAAAAACCAAAACCTTTTGAGAATGAAATCTCATGTGGATTAAATAAAATGGAAAAGGCTAGCTCAGGTGCCGCTTGCTCTAGATCAAAGCAATTCTGGGATTGTAAAAGTATTCATTAGAAATGCTGAATTTGCCAACCTTTTTACATGGGGCGGGGGGGGGTGTGGTGTAGCAGGGGCTCTATGGTGGTAAAGATCAATAAAATGTCATCAGAGGCAGGAAGGAATTTCAGGTACACATTGGGTACCTTGGCTCTCGGCAGAGATTTAGCAAGGGCTTGTGAAATGCCGATTAGAACCAGCTCTTGGCAAACAGACCTCAGGCTCGAAGCGGGTGACCCGTTTGAAGGCAGCGTACGCTTCAGAGGTGTAAAAGCGAGTGCTCCACGCCTGCCCTGCTGCCTCTACCTGGTGCTTCACTGCAAAGGGACAGTAAGGACAATCCCTGACCTTACATCCAGTGCTCATTAGCCAGCATGACTTTTTGCAATTCGCTTAGGTGTTACCATGACTGAGAGCTCTAACTTGCACCCCTGGAGCACAGAAACCCCTCCATCTTCGCCCCCCAGCTTTCTGGTGTTTGGTGGCTTTTTCCTAGAATAGAGCTGACTTTTCCCATTAACAGTCTCCACCACCGTTGCTGTTTTGCAGACAAAGAAGTATGCAGATGTGATCATCCCCCGAGGAGTTGACAACATGGGTAAAAGGGAGTTCAGTTCTCTGCCTAATTTCTCTGGGGAGACCACCGTTGGGATTGTGAAGAGAGCAGGTGGCACGCCACTGCCTCGTTTGCACGCTTCTAAGGAAAGGTGTTTTGCTGGAGGGCTGGAGGGGAGGGAGCTGCTCAGAGCCTGGCCAGGATGACCTGCCTGCAGAGGGCTGGAAACAGTGGCATGCGACTGGAGATGCAAAGCAGGACACCAGTGTTAAAGCTGGTGCTACAATTGCTGGTTTCTGTTGAGGTGTGACCTCACTGCAGAGGGCAGGCATAGTTTCATTTAAGGGCTCGTTGTTAAAACTTGAGCTGAACAGGCCTGGGTGCTCCACATTTTCTAGATAACTCAGCCAAGAAAGCCCTCATATCCTGTATTTCCTGTTCCTCTCTGCAGTTGCTATAAACCTCATAGTGCAGCACATCCAAGACATCCTAAACGGAGACATCTGCAAGTGGCAGAGAGGGGCAATGAACGGACATGGCCGGACCTACAAGCGCCCGTTCCCTGAACAAACAGAGAGCAGCAGCGTGCTAGCGGCTGGCAAACGCTCCCACCTGGAGTCCAGTAGCCGTCCGCACTAAGCTGTCGGTGTCTGAAGGATTTGCCTCTGGTCCAGACCAACACTGAAGACCACTTTGGGAAAGGACTTCAACAGAATGGTTGGTGAAGTGCCCTTTAAATCATCCTAGCAGCGGAGGGGATACTGGTGGAAAATTCTTGCAGCGGGGAGAGGAAGGAGTTGGCCTTCGGCCCCTCTCCCCTCCAACCTCCCCCCCCCTCCTTTTCTCCCTGCATTGTCTGGAGTTAGGATGTTCTTGATGAACTGGTCAAAGGCAGTGCTACTTGCCCTTTTTTAATTGTCAAAATGACCTAATGCTGAAGTCTCCCTTGAAAATTAAGTGTTACCAGGTGATTAGCAAGAGACCCCATTTCCCTGATGATGATCTTCCTTAGCAAGGAAATTAGTTGCCTGTTTTTTCATAAGAAAAAACAGCCTCCTTATCCAGGACTAGCTCGCACCCTTGTTAATTTTAATAAGCAGGTGCAGTCCTTACTCTGCCTTGTTGGGACCTTGAGTTCTGGCATTGCTCTCCCACTGACCAGCCTCCTTTTTAGCCTGTAGTAGCATGTGGGGGCAGAAGGATTGACCTGTACAGGAACCTCTCCCCTGAGAGAAAGAGATGAAATAGAGACTGTCTGGGACAAATGGGAACTTGCAGTTCATTGGGGAGGACAGGCCCAAGAAGTTGTGTGATTCTGATTCCTGATTTATTCCTGTCTAAGCTCCTGAAGCTCGCTACACTGCATGATTTTTTTTTTTTTTTTACCCAAATAGTCTCCTTTATCAATCACAGTTACTGAATGTGTGAGCTCCAACTGGATTGGGTTGCTCATGGAAAGAGAAATCTGACCTTGTCAGTATTAGTGTCTTTTAGGGTATTTCTGTACTGCTGCTTGCAGATTCTGCTGGGCGGAATCCACTTCCCGAGCTGGCTGGTAAAAGCAAGGGGGGGAAAGCTGTGAATTGCAGGATCCTCCTGATGGCACAAACAGCTCTATGGACAGGCTTCTACCCTCCAGCAGGGTCAAAGCCCTTGCCTTGCACTCAGGCAGTTTAAACTCAAGAATGTCTGGTTTTCTAAAAAGAGCAGACAAGAGGCTGGAAGTATAAACAGTGGCATCCCAGTTTCTATAGCTTACCCCAGATAAGTAAGTGATACTGCAGCAACATGAATTTTCTGGGAAACAAATTCTGAAATGAAGTGCCAGTTGGGCCTTTGAAAATGTCCTTGTGGTATCCTTCTTGAATCTGGACTTATGGTGTAATTTTAAGGATGTGGGTGGGAGGAAATATTAAGAGGACCTTTTTCATATTTGCTAGTTTTCTAAAATCAGGGTCTGGCTGTGTGTGTTGTGGGTGTGTTACTTTGGTTAATAAACAAATGAACAAGCAGTGAGCAGAAGTGACCATTTTATATAAAAGGTATTTGTGCTATTTGCACTACACCAGCACAATGGCGTTACACTCAACAGTTCCTTCTCCCCTTAATTCAGAATTGTTAGTGTTAGTTTTGTAATGGTTGAAGCTTAAGAGAAAAAAAAAAAAATAATGCAGTCTGCACAGTCATCCTACAGTCTTTTCAATACTGGGAATCGGTAAAGGTTGGTTGTCTGTCAGTGATGGCCACAGTTCAGTGGCACATCTCTGTAATGCTGGAGAAAGCAGTTCATTGCCGAACTGCTGCCAGGTGCTGTTTAGCTCAGGGTCACAGACTTAGAGCGTGAGCTACTGCACTGAAGCATTAGCTATTGGGGTGGACTTAAGTAGGAGCAAAATAGTCACTAACCCTACTTTGAATGGCTGTGGTGTTTGTTCATACCTTCCTCTGGGGGTGGGGTGGGCAGGAAGCTAAAAGCAGCCTCGACTAGTATTTGTTAGCCACCCTGGTCTGCCTAGGACTGCTGTTCTTAGGCAGCTTTGAGCTGTATTGCAAGATCCTGCTGCTGCAGCCACATATCAACTGTGGCATAGGTACTGTAACCCTTGTATTGCAGATTCCCCACTGAGCAATCCCGCTCCATCGCTTGTACCTTCTCCCCTGTGAATTCCTCTGCTGGTGCAAGCCAGGGCATGGGCTGTTACCTACAATGGTTTTTTACCCGAACACCTGTGTACAAGTTAAGAGCAGGTTTCGTTGTCAGCATGATCAGTTCTACCTTGCACAGAGTTCCTCCTCCTATGAGACTGGAGGTGTAACCCTGCAGCCCAGTAAATACAGTGCTGCCATTGCTAGTAACAGACCACAGGCTTCACACGAATGCCGCAAGGCCAGAGGATTCTTCTGGCTTTGGCTGACTTCTTGGCCTGCCTGAAGCTTTGTTTTAGCTCGTTTAGCTGTAACAGCAATCTTTTTTAAGGTCTCTTTATTTTTGCTTAGCTTCATAAAAATTATGGTTATGCCAAATGATTATACATAGAGAAGAGTAATAAGTCATTATTCTATGCAGAACAAACTATAAACTTACTTAGCTTAATGCTGTAATGTAATGAAATAGGGATGATTGATAGGAGAGCATTGAAAGCGGGGGCAAATAATAATGCATTGTTGAGAAATACAGCCATGGGATGATGCTGAAGACTGTACGGCCAATTACTGAGAGTTAAAGATGTGTAAACTTTGGAGCTGGGAAACCCCAGCTTTTCGGAGCAACAAAGAAAAGAGAGACAAATATCTGATATGTTGGGGAGTATCCATTTATAGTAACTTGTAACATGGAATTGCAGAGCAAGGTGCTAGGGAACACATAAAATAGCCCTAAGTGCAATGTAGTACAAGAAGGATGAACCCATCACCAGGAAAGAGGAAGAAGCAGCCCTTCCAGTGTGTTCTTCCCAGCAAAGGACCTGGGATGCTGTTGACTGGAGCCAACACCCTTCAGACCCTGAGGGGCAGTGGAAGGGTGAATGTAACAGGGGTAGATTGGGAATTGTGCTCGTAACAGCTGTGTTACTGTTGAGACTTTTTTTTTTTTTTGTAACAGTATTCTTTTTATTTTCTTTTTCTGTAATAATTAGATCTGGGCTACTACCAGTTATCTGATCAGACTGTTAAGATTTCAATTATCCTAACAATAAATTCTTGGCTTTGCATAAGAGGCGTTTCCTTTTGCCTGTAGCAAGACTGTAATTGTTACTGTTTTCGGATAAGGATGTTCCAGCTGTCCTTCCAGCGCAAGTCCTTGAGTTCAGTAACAGACAGTGAGGGCTCCCCATAGGTCACAGGGCTGAATGTGCAATACACAAGGTAAACCGAGGAGAACCAGGCTACGATCAGTGCACTGAACATGCTCTTGAGAAGCAGAGATCTGGGATGAGAGAGGGAAAGATCAGTCAAGTTACATCAAGGCTGGCCAAATGCTTCATCCAAAAGGACAACCTGCACCTGGCCTATCTTCTCTAAAGGCAAATGCCAAAGCATGGCTGGTGCTGGAAAAATCACCGCTTTCCCTGCCAAGGTGACAGCCCTGGAGAAAAGAACTGCATCACTGCTCTTGTCTATGTATCGATCTATCTGTTAAAACCAAATACCTGCAGTGGTGATCGCTGAGATGCTGTAATACGATGGGAATCAGGAGAATCTGGAATGTGAGGGCAGGCAGGTAGTGGTACAGGAAAAGTGTTTTCTCCATCAGGAAGAAGGGCAGGTAATTCACAGCCCAGCCTCCAACACAGATCCTCCCAGCTGATACCCACAGCTGCCATGCATCTGCAGGAGACAGGAGATACCTCAAAGTACAGCCCCTGGCAACCTAAAGTCTCTAACAGGTTGCCTACTTGCATGGTTTGGGTTTTCCCTGCACTCTCTACAATTTGTGCTAAGATGACCTTTACCTTGACCACACCCAACTGAGAGAAATAGTTAAGTTTTGTCACATTTTAATGAAGTACCCATCAAGACAGATTACAGCCAACATGAAGCAGCTTCACAGTGTGACAACAGGATGTACTGCCAGAAAGGTCAGCGTAAAACTGCCCGGCCACACAGAAGAGATGGTACCTGTGTTGGAACGAATACATCTAAAACAAACCCCCTCCCCACACAGCCAGAACTTGCCTCTTTTAAATCATCACAAAAGGGCTCAGTGGAATCCAAATCTAATGCCTGGAGATTTCTTACATCCAGGGAATGATCCAAATAAACTGTATGCTGGCTACTGTACTGTCTCATGAGGTGATGGTCACATTGTGATGACCATAATCAGTCTCTTCATGTTTGTGTGTCCCAAATAAAAAATACAGGGTTGAGTGGGGCAGGAAAAAGTGCCAAAGCCAAGCACAAGACCTTGGATCCATTAAAGTGTAGCAGAACAAGAGACAAGCTCCCGCCCCACCCCACCTTGGCCTCGACACACACACACGTGCACACACACACACACACACGGACAGACAGACAGACAGAGAGAGAGTGGAATCAGACCTTCAGGAATGTCGTAAATCTTTCTCCTTCGTCGTATCAAGTACCACAGGGACAGACATGTGTAGACCAGAGCAGCAACGTTAGCTGAAGCCCAGGTAACAACATTCCCAAGGAGGTGGATCTGGGCCTGAAGGACAGAAGATGGTCTAAGCCAGAAGCTGCAGTTCTGTTTGTTAGGTAAGTTGTTAGGTAAGTACCTACACATACTAAATTAAATGTCAGAATGTGCTTGGCTAGTACCCTGATCTTTTCTGGAACAAAGCTAGTTGATAAACTTTGATGCTTTAAGACTCTTTTGTAATGTAAAGCATTTTAAAAGATGCTATTGGTGATGAACTCATCTTCTAAATGGAATCAATAATGGAAACTATTAAACTGCAGTTTTTCCTTTACAACAAAAAAACGTGCAAGAAGATATGATTTCATTAAAAGCAACTACTGTCAAAGCTGTATCACATGCCAAAAAAACCCCAAACCCAACCCTCAAGGGAAAATATGTTCTTAATAGAGGAGGAGTCCATCCTGGAGCAGCTCCTTGGCTGGAACTGCAGCCCTGCTCTCACACACACTCATGGAGCTCACATCTGAACTGAAGTCTGCTTTCTTCACCAGGTTCACGTTTACATCTACCTCTCATACTTACACCAGAGGTCGGGTGTAGCCAGTAGGCAATATTCGTGTCCATTGTGATCCAGTCGAGAGCAGAGGAGCTGTACTTATGTTCTGTGTCTTCGTTTTTTAATGTGAGTATTTTCCACTAGGAAAAAAAGTAAACAGAAGGCTTTCAGAATTGGAACAATGAGTGGGATAGGAGGCATGGGTGAAAGGCTCCAGATGTAAGGCAGTAAGTTCTTAAGCTGGGAGTGGACAAAGATTTTGCATATCTTGTTCTGGGTGTTGATCAATAAAATTGTTTTATTTTGTTCTTATATAATGCACTTTTCATAGTGAATTTCTGCAATGTTAGTAAGGGGCATCAACACTACTGACTGACTATACAACACGGTACGGTTCAGTTTCAGACAGCTTCTGGGTGCCCAATTCCCCCTGTTTTTTTTTTACACAATCACTTTGGTATGCATTACTGAGTTGCATAGTTGTGCAGTTCTCTAAATGCCCTTCTAAGTGCATTCAGAAATACTTTTTTTCAGTGAGGAAGCCAAACTACTCCATCAGCAAGGAATAAACAATGAGTCCTCAGGCTCAGAGTTTTCAGAAATGCTCAGGTTCCTGCTTCGCAGCAGAAGGAAAGATGAAAGAAGACACTCACCTGCAATTCCATGAACTTTGCCATGAAGCTGAGGTTTTTACTTATGTCCATCTGCGTGGGAGAGTGGAGTTCCACTTCCCTCTCTTTTTGTTCTTGGCCTGAATGAAAACAGCATAGCTCAGAAATAACCACAGAACAGGTAGAAAGCTTGAATGGGGAGAAAGCACATACGATCTGAGGAGCAAGGCCTCAGACTCCTGGGAGCCCTTCTCCAATACCTAGTCCAACTAGGAGAGTGTTCTCAGGGGATCTGTAATGCCACCTTCCCATCAACGTGAAGCCTCCCCCAGTCACAAAAATCTGCTTTGAGAACATGGCTGAGATGTACTTTTCCCGTATCTGTGCTCTTCCACATTCCACACCATGCTCTGATGGTAGCCTTTGGACAGCTTCTCTCCAACCACCTCCAGCTGCCGGTATCCCCACTCAGGTAGAGATGCTCCACTGAGCTGAAAGAGAAAGATGACCATAAACTTGAAGTCCCACCAATCTGAACTTCAGGATGACGTTCCTAGGCCCTGCCTGAGCAGTGGATCACAGCAAGAGACTGCTAGAAGAGTCACCATGCAACACTGTCTCAACCAATGCTACAGCCATAAAGTCAGTGGTTCTGGCAAACTGTGCAGAGATGCTTAACTATTCCAGCCACTGCCACGTACTACAGACAGACTCAGCATCAATTTCTGAGGCAGTATCTAAGGCCCAGTTGTGGCCACAACCCCCTAAGAAGCAGAACAGCTCTGCATGCTGAAAAGGAATGAAGTGTGAGTATGACCACCTGAAACACACGCTGCCCTTTTATCACACTGAGCAAGTTTATTGTTTCCTTTTATTTACTTATTTGGTTATTTGTTTTAGAGGTTTAGGCATTTTGGAGCAGAGAGATTAGTAATTTATGAGATTACAAGAGCTGCATGGAGGAAAAGGTATAGGCAAATAAACATAAATCCACTTGCCTTTAGCACTGCAGAGGTGTTCACATGAACAAACCTCACTTCTGACAGAATTGTCTTCCACACATCTGTGTCAGACTCCCGATTTACAATTTCCTGCAACAGAAAGATGTCTTTTGATTGTCATGTTGTCTCAGCTGTTTCTGCTGGAACATGATGAGCTCCTCCCTTCCCTTTGACCACTCACCACTCTCCAGAGATTCTGTGCTGGCATGGAGACATTATAATCAATATAGCAGGAAACTTCTTGGGAATGAGGGCTAAGAGGGGCAGCAACATCATGCCTACAAGACAACTAAAGTTAAGATCCTCCCC